GAAGAAGCTTGAGGCAGAGCGCAAGGCAAATAAGGCCAACGATGCCGCCGAGAAGGCCAAATTCCTTCGCGAAGCTGAAAGGGCCCAGAGAAAAATCAAATCGACCAAGCGAGCTCTCGAAGGTGTCACATCGCCGGAGGAAATCGGAGAGGTCACGCCGCTTGCTCCTAACCTGGAAGGAGGCACTACCAGCTCATTTCACATCGGTCGCAGCTCCCCGTCGAGGCGCAAGTCTGGACGCTCGGGAACCTCACGGCCGAAGAAATCCAAGGAGCAGAAGCAGGCGGAGAAAGATGCGGCCGAAGCTGCTTATGCTGCCATGGAGAATGACGAGCCCTTGCCTATCGCTCCCAAGGAAGATCCGAGAAAGGAAACACTCAAGAAGGAGGCCAAAGGTGCACGTTCCAAAGAACCCACGCCTACGCCCGTACCCACATTCGAGTCGAAGGGTTACAATCAGATATATGAACAGATCTGGCGGGATATTGCCCGTAAAGACATCCCCAAGGTCTATCGCATCAAGACCCTTTCTCTCAGCACGCGTCAGGAAAATCTGCGGAAGACTGCTCAGCTTGCCAGTAAGCAGTCTCGCAAATGGCAAGAGCGTACGAACAAGAGCATGAAAGACACGCAGGCCCGTGCCAAGCGGACGATGCGTGAAATGATGTCCTTCTGGAAGCGCAATGAGCGCGAGGAGCGTGATCTGCGTCGTCTCGCCGAGAAGCAGGAGATCGAGTCCGCCAAGAAGGCAGAAGCAGAGCGTGAAGCCAATCGTCAGAAGCGCAAGCTGAATTTCTTGATCTCCCAGACTGAACTGTATTCTCACTTCATTGGCCGAAAGATCAAAGGTGCCGGAGCAGATTCTTCTGGGGATACCGCTGTGGACGGCTCAGATGAGACCATCCAACCTGGCAAGGCCCAAGACCGCACCATTGATCTGCCGCCTAGCGTCGCCGACATGAGCACCAAAGTCACCAATTTTGAGGACCTAGATTTCGACGCGGAAGATGAGACGGCTCTGCGGCAGGCGGCCATGGCTAATGCCCAGAATGCCGTCAAGGAAGCTCAGGAGCGGGCACGTGCCTTCAATGCTGAAGAGAACCCGATGGCCGCTCTGGACGAGGGCGAACTGAACTTCCAGAACCCCACGAGTTTGGGCGATATCGAAATCTCACAGCCCAAGATGCTTACGGCCAAGCTCAAGGAATACCAGTTGAAGGGTCTGAACTGGCTTGTCAATTTGTACGAGCAAGGTATCAACGGTATTTTGGCGGACGAGATGGGTCTGGGTAAGACCATCCAGTCTATATCGGTCATGGCATACTTGGCTGAGGTTCACAATATCTGGGGACCGTTCCTGGTCATTGCGCCAGCATCGACACTGCATAACTGGCAGCAGGAAATCACCAAGTTTGTTCCCGATATCAAGGTGCTGCCTTACTGGGGATCGGCGAAAGATCGCAAGGTTCTCCGGAAGTTCTGGGACCGCAAGCACATCACTTACACCAAAGAGTCAGAGTTTCATGTCCTTGTGACCTCGTATCAGCTTGTCGTCGTCGATTCGCAGTACTTCCAGAAAGTCAAGTGGCAGTACATGATTCTTGACGAAGCCCAGGCCATCAAGTCGTCTCAAAGTTCGCGGTGGAAGAACCTGCTCGGATTTCACTGCCGAAACCGTCTTCTGCTCACTGGTACCCCGATTCAAAATAATATGCAGGAATTGTGGGCCCTTTTGCATTTCATTATGCCGACCTTGTTTGACTCTCACGATGAATTCAGCGAGTGGTTCTCCAAGGACATTGAGTCTCATGCTCAAAGTAATACCAAACTTAACGAGGACCAGCTCCGGCGGTTGCACATGATTCTGAAACCATTCATGCTTCGTCGCGTGAAGAAACACGTCCAGCAAGAACTTGGAGACAAGGTTGAGAAGGATGTGTTCTGCGACCTGACGTATCGACAGCGGGCCTACTACGCCAACTTGCGGAACCGCGTCAGCATCATGGACCTCATCGAGAAGGCGGCTGTTGGCGATGAAGCCGACAGCACGACACTGATGAACTTGGTCATGCAGTTCCGGAAAGTCTGCAACCATCCCGACCTGTTCGAGCGGGCAGAGACAAAGTCACCGTTCTCGGTCGGACATTTTGCAGAAACCGCCTCGTTCGTCCGTGAGGGACAGAATGTGGATGTCCGCTACTCGACGCGTAACCTGATCGAGTACAGCCTACCGCGCCTTTTATGCAGCCCCAGCGGTCGTGTTGACACGGCTGGGCCGGGCAATGAACAGGCTGGTTTCCGAGGCAAATACCTGCAGCACTTGATGAACATCTTTACCCCGGAGAATATCAAACGCAGCATCGACGAGGATGGTAGCTTTTCCTTCCTGCGGTTCGCCGACACCTCCGTCAATGAGGCGTACGAGCAGTCACATCTCGGCGTCTTCGAGCGGGCGGTGCGCCGTCGTGGCCAGAGCAACAGACTGTCTCGCCTGAATATCATCTACGACGACGATGAGGACGAGCAAACAGCAAAGTCTGTGCTTCCTCATTCCCTCTTCAATATTGTCCAGCGGAACGATCACCAGGCTGTCCGTGACGTTACCGTGGAGGGCTATATGCGGGATTTAATGAATGTTTCTGAGGCTACGTTCGAACGCGGAGGCCTAGACGTGATTGAACCCTGCGCGAGTCCTGCCGCATCGGCGCCTCCGATCACCATCTCCTGCTCTGGTCAACAGGCCGTCAGGGAAATCCAGGATACCTTCTTCAACGTCTCCGTTCGCCATGCCCTCTTTAGCTCGCCTTCTAGACAGATGGAGCAGCAGATCCTCGAGAAGAAGTTGGACCCCACCCCGTTCTCGCTTCCGCCCATGCTGCCGAAGCCGACATCCACCAAGGGGCGGTACACGCACATCGAAGTTCCATCCATGCGGCGTTTTGTCACCGATTCGGGCAAGCTGGCCAAGCTGGATGAACTTCTCCGCGAACTCAAGGCGGGCGGTCACCGTGTGCTGCTGTACTTCCAGATGACGCGCATGATTGACCTGATGGAGGAGTATCTCACCTACCGCAACTACAAGTACTGCCGCTTGGACGGAAGCACCAAACTTGAGGACCGTCGTGACACCGTGGCCGATTTCCAACAGCGGCCTGAGATTTTTGTGTTCCTCTTGTCTACCCGTGCCGGTGGTCTGGGTATCAACCTGACTGCCGCTGACACGGTGATTTTCTACGATTCGGATTGGAACCCGACCATTGACTCGCAGGCTATGGATCGAGCGCATCGTCTCGGCCAGACCAGACAGGTGACCGTCTACAGGCTCATCACTCGCGGCACCATCGAAGAGCGAATCCGCAAGCGAGCCCTGCAGAAAGAAGAGGTGCAGCGCGTTGTCATTTCGGGCGGTGCGGCCGGCGGAGTTGACTTCAACACTCGCAACCGCGAGAGTCGGACCAAGGATATCGCCATGTGGCTGGCGGATGATGAGCAGGCGGAACTGATTGAGCAGAAGGAGAAGGAAGCTCTAGACCGCGGTGAGGTGTTTGGCGCTGGCAAAGGAGGCAAGAAGGCGGCTCAAAAGAGAAAGAAGGATCTTACGCTTGACGACATGTATCACGAAGGTATGGCGCGACTCTCAATCCCCATTTCCATTGATGATATGATGCTTACTTTTTCTTTTCTACTACAGGGGAAGGAAACTTTGACGATATCAGTGCGAAGCCTTCAGGTGCGGCAACGCCTGTATCAACTGCGGACAACCTTGGCACACCCTCGTCGACACCCGTTCCCAAGCGAGGACGAGGACGTGGCAACGGCAAGGGATCGTCGAAGCGAGCTAAGACGACCACGGAGCGCTTGCGATTGATTGATGGTGACGGTGGACTGGAAAGTTGATGTGCACATCGACTATGACCGATCCCAGATTTTACTAGGTACCTACCCGTATGACTGAATGGGGCTACGGCGTTTTTTGAGAGATTACTGTGATTCTGATGGATTTGTGCTTATTGTTCGCGGCACCTTGTTGTTTCTGCCTTGTATTAACATGTCAACTTTTGTTTCTCTAATCTACCTGACACTTTTTTTTGTTAAAGACGGCTGGAGGGGATGATGTGAGATGAAAAGCAAAGAGAGATTAAGCTGATTGAGATTGACGAGGCGATAGACGAGCATGCGGCTGGATTTTCTTCATCTGTTCTTATTTTGTTCATTCATTATTTTGTCCTGATTGGCGATACGGTTATGACTTGGGGACCCTGATCAAGATTGGGGGAAATGGGCGCTTCTGTGGTGTTCTCTTCCTTGGCCATGATTGCCACGATGGATGCTGGGATGGGCTTCAGCTGAAGTGAAAGATTCTCAATTGCTTGTGTCCCTTTCCTTGGACGACTACAAAAACCGTAATGTATGAGTTCATGAAAAGGTCGAGGTCATCATTATGTCGTATGTTGTCAAGTTGCGCACTCCGAAGGCGGAAAGGAAATGCGTGAGGAGACTTCCTCGGCCACCGCGGAGGATTCCGAGGATATGCCAGCGGCTGTTCCGTTTACCGTACTTTACCTTATTTTACCATGTAGCCCACCTTTCCCCAGTATCGGATCATACGGCTACGGTAATTCCGTAGACTCTTCAATCTTCATTACCAGCCAATCACATGCCGCACATTAGCAGCCACCTGCGAGGTGCATATTGCCCGAACAGGCTTAGCGGTATGGTCTCGCAGCCCATCGGTGACTGAGGCACCGAGGCAATGAGGCAACGGTCGAGTCAGACATTGGCTTTTAGTCATCCGTCCAGGTTCTTTTTCTCTTCTGCCCTTATACTCGGCGGCGACTGGAACCAATCTCCTGCATCGGCGTCTGGAAAAGTCCAGTCTATTTCTTTTCTCCCATCTTCCCCTCCCAATTTCACCTTTTCCTTGTTATCTACCTTCCGTCTCAACACCACGAAACCAATTCCTGCCTCGATTGAGTCTCTGCTCACTCGCCGCCTTCACCATGGAGTCTCTTCTCCAGCAGTCTCGGGCGATGTGTCCGTTCCTCAAGCGCACCTCTCCCACCGCTCTGCGTACTCTTGCCACGGCTACCCGTCCCAGCATCAGTCCCGGCGGAGGTACCATGTCGAACCTTCAGGTCATCGCTCGTCGTTGCCCTGTGATGAGCAAGGCCCTGGCTGTCCAGAGCGCCCGCATGGCCGGCACCAAGAGGTTCACCTCCTCTGCCGCTGGTGTGCCGGGTATGAGCAGCAAGCATTCCCGTCCCACTCAGACCAGAAGGGCGCTGCACGGTACTGGAGGCAATGGCGCCAACCTGAGCCCTGATCTTTACAAGAACACCGACAGACGTGCGTACTTTCTCAGCGGATAGATTGAATATATATAGCTAATTGATTCCGAACAGTTCAACCCACCTTTGGCAACGGCAAAGGCAAGACCCCACTCACCACTTCTCCCGCGGCGGTTTCCGGTCCCCGTCCTGAGGCTCCCGTTTCCGCTCCATTCAACTACAATGCTTTCTACCAGGGTGAACTGGAGAAGAAACACAAGGACAAGTCCTACCGCTACTTCAACAACATCAATCGACTCGCCAAGGAATTCCCCCGTGCTCACACCGCCTCGGTGGAAGAGCGGGTGACCGTGTGGTGCTCGAATGACTATCTCGGAATGGGTCGCAACCCGGAAGTGCTGGCCACCATGCACGAGACTCTGGATACCTACGGAGCCGGCGCCGGTGGTACTCGCAATATCTCGGGACACAACAAGCATGCCGTGGCTCTGGAGAACACGCTCGCCACACTGCACGGCAAGGAAGCGGCGCTGGTGTTCAGCTCGTGCTTTGTTGCCAACGATGCCACGCTCGCGACCCTAGGAAGCAAGATGCCCGACTGTGTCATCCTGTCCGACAGCCTGAACCATGCATCGATGATTCAGGGTATCCGTCACTCTGGCGCCAAGAAGATGGTCTTCAAGCACAACGACCTGGTCGACCTTGAGAATAAGCTAGCGTCTCTGCCATTGCATGTTCCCAAGCTCATCGCGTTCGAATCCGTTTACAGTATGTGCGGGTCCATCGCCCCAATCGAGGCTATCTGTGACCTCGCCGACAAGTACGGCGCCATTACCTTTCTGGACGAGGTCCATGCTGTGGGTATGTACGGTCCCCACGGGGCTGGTGTTGCAGAACATCTGGACTACGAGATCTATGCCTCTCAGGACACCCCCAACCCTCGCTCCACCAAGGGAACGGTGATGGACCGCGTGGACATCATCACCGGTACTCTGGGCAAGGCGTATGGGTGTGTCGGAGGCTACATTGCCGGCTCTGCGGCTATGGTGGATACCATCCGCTCCCTCGCTCCCGGTTTTATCTTCACGACCTCGCTGCCTCCCGCGACGATGGCCGGAGCCAACACGGCCATCCAGTACCAGGCACGTCACAAGGGCGACCGTGTGCTGCAGCAGTTGCACACTCGGGCCGTGAAGAAGGCACTGAAGGAACTAGATATCCCCGTGATTCCGAACCCCTCTCACATCGTACCTCTTCTGGTTGGCGATGCCGAGCTTGCCAAGAAGGCCTCGGACAAGCTGCTGGAGGAGCACGGAATCTACGTCCAGGCGATCAACTACCCGACCGTGCCTCGCGGTGAGGAGCGCCTGCGTATCACTCCCACTCCGGGACACGTCAAGGAGCACCGCGACCACCTGGTGCAGGCCGTCCAGGCGGTCTGGAACGATCTGGGCATCAAGCGCACTAGTGATTGGGCAGCCCAGGGTGGGTTTGTCGGTGTCGGCGTGGAAGGCGCCGAGGAACAGAACGAGCCCATCTGGAAGGACGCACAGCTCGGCCTGTTCGAGTACGAGAGTCTGGAGCAGGCGGTCGAGCGTGAGTTCCAGCAGGCGCCTCGCATGCAAACCGCCACTCCCATCCAGCCTGCTGCGGCTCCCGCTGCCTCCATCCCCGTTGGCGTGACCGCATAGACAGGACGCTGCCTTGTTGGGTAGTGTATCTTGCATATATAATTCACCTCCCCTTGCACCTGAAAGATCTACGTCGTGAAGGTTTGGGTGCAGGTTCTTTGATATTCCTGCTCATTGACAATATAACCTTGTCCTCAGGTACATGCACTTGTATGTATTCACAATTCCTCTGTTACGAGGAACATCCACATATACATCCGAACCGGTCTGTCATTACCGCGCTCTGGGTTCGATAGATCAATTCAAGGGCCAGTCTCTACCTCCTTGCATTTCTCACAATTATAACCCCCGTTGTAGATGGCTTAGTGCGTAATTCAAGACATTGTAGGCCTCTATAAGATATGAGTGACATTTATAGTCCAACGTTCGCGCTATCATCTAGTTACAACGGAACCCCAACGCCTTGACACCATGAGACAAGCGCAGAATTGCGGGAGACCGACATCCCAAAACCAACTTTTCTAGTTATCATTTTTCACAGCTGCAAAGGAAAAAAGACCGCAGGGACAGACAATCACCTCCTCCCACCGCGGCTCACCTTGGGAAACTCCACAGGAACCTTGAGACGGGCAATCCGTCTCGCGGCCGCCTCGGCCTTGCCGCCCTTGATATTCCACTTGGCGAACTCGCTCTCGCGTGGCTTGTCGACGCGGCAGCCCAGTTCGCGGAAGTACTGCAGGATGGTGGCGCTCTCGAGCCTCAGGTCGTCGCGCAGATCAGCGGGGTCGGTGGCCAGCTCGTTGGGTGAGTTGCCGCCCAGGGAGCTGGCGCCGCCGTCCTTGGCGGGCTGCGGGGGGATGTGCAGCGACAGAGCGCAGATGGTGGTATGCAGGAAGGTGAGGTCGTTCTTGGTGAGGTGGGAGCCCTGCGGGGCGAACTTGCGGCGGATGGCGTCGATGACGGGGTCCGGGAGGGTGCCGGCGTCGGATTGGCTTGTAGTCGTCTGCTGCTTGCTGGTAGAGGCGGGGTTGCCCGAGGCCGAAGAGAGGATACGGCGCAGTTCCTCGCGGGGCGGGAGGCGCTTGCTGCCTGGTCCGGCGGACGACTTGGGGTCTCGGCCGGAGCGAAGGGAGCGGGAAAACTCGAGCAGGAGAAGGATGAAGCGGAGGAGCTGGAGGTGGGTGGTGTTGCCGGACTTGACGACCGCCTCGACGCGGCGGGAGACGTAGCGTGAGGTCGTGGCCACGGGGAGGCCGGCGGAGACGGTGTCGGCCCACTCCTTGACGCCGGGGAGCTGGCGGAGGGTGGCCAGCCCGTTGGGAACGAGCACGTCAATCGGGTAGACGTCAGACGGGTGCGTCGCGTCCAGGTTGGCCTGCGGGATGGGCTTGTTGGCTTGCACCTGCGCCTGCACGGCCGCTGCCTTGGACGCGATGTCGGCCGCGGCGTCGGCGGGCATGGACGAGAGAATGGCCGACTCGGCGGCGTTTACGACACCGGCGGGCGCGCTAGACAGCTGTGCGTTCTCGGCCATCGACTGTGCCGCCTTGCGTGATTGTTTCGTGCCGAAGGTGTTGGTGAGTTCGGTGCGTTGCGTGCGCATGGTTTTCTAGCGCGGTCAGCATCTGCCAAAGAGTCGAGCAGCTGTACACAAAAGCAGAAAGCATACCACTTCCTCCTCCTCGCTGCTCTCCTCATCCTCCTCCGTCAGGGGCTTCATCCTCCTCACGGCTCCTCGCACCGTCAACTTGCGCACCTCGACAAGCTGCCAGGTCTTCTTTTCCGGGTCCACCACGGCAACGTAGTGCTTAAGCTGGGAGTCAGCGTCCTCCTCCGCCTCGCGGCCCACGAAGTCCAGCTTGGGGTGCTCGGAGGATTGCACCAGGAGCTCCGACGAAACAATCCCCTTGTTGCGATTTGCCGATGACGAAGAATTTGCGCGGGCTTTGAGGTACGGCGTAAAACGCAGGTTGCGGGGGGCGTTGACGCCGGGGGTGGTGACTGTGCAACCTGTCAATCGATTTGTGCATGGTACAGCAAATTTATATCATTCATACTTATCACAGGAGCCAGCTCGCTATGCTCATCTACTACACTGGCCGACAGAGGTGGTAGGTCCTGGAGCTCGAGTGCGGGCTTCTTGCTGGGACGTTCATGGCGATCAGAGTCGCGCTTGCGCTTTTTTTCGACTTTATCCGATGGCATATTGTTCCTTTAGAAAGGAGAAAAGAGAATGAAGAGAGTTATTGCTGAATGGCGTTGTTGTAGCGTAGCTACGTTGGACTGAAATGTTCTTTCTAAGGGAAAAAAATTGCCGGGTCCAAAATTTGGTTCTCCGCACTCAAAGGCGGAGATGCTCGTTATTGGACACACAAACCAGAGCACGGTGAATTGGTACATGTCCGTTATTCTTCATTATTATCACTGCGATGACTACTGTTCTGCGCGTTTCAAAGCTCTCAAATAGGATCTACGATACTGAATGAAAGTTTTGTTGTCATCGTAACTTTTGCCATTTCATTTTTAATAAACTCTCGAGAGACACCTCTCCATGGCTCAATGTCTCACTAGAGAACAAGACCCGAAGTAAGAAACGAGCAATTGACCGGCCCTCATGCGAAACCCAAAAAGGTTCGGTGAACAAAGACAGTACAGGAATGAATAAAAATGAAGAATCACTTTTTCTTCAAACTTTCCCACCGACCTCTCCAGCCTCCACCGAACACAGTCGCCTCTCCGAGAAATAAGGACACGGATATGCGGATCCCAAACTGTCTGATCAAGATAAAAGGTTATCGAAAACGTTGAAGTGAGCCCGAGGAGGATGGAAGCAGGCTGTTGAACGGCGGACTCCGAATTCGAACACGTTTGAATAGAGGGAATTCAACCGTAATCTTTTTTTCCTAGGAAATCGGACCAGACAGGTACCCATTGGAGAGGCTGGACCACGGAACGATCATAACAAGAAATCATCATCGTAACGTCGTCGAAATATCATGTTCGGCGTTCAACTTGAGCATCGACATGAAGAACCGAGATGGAGTGGGCGAGACGTTTATTTCCTGCAGAGGGGATTAGCATCAGGCCAGATCTAATTGATTTCCCATCGCTTCGATTGGTGATGGTGATGAAGGGGGAAACTCACGATCTGGCTCTCATCTTTCTTCTCTTTCGCTTAAGGCGACGAACGCGCTTCTTTCTCCACTTGGCTCTCATCTTCGTAGATGGTTCGAGACTGAAGCTGGTCAGTCAATTGCCTGAAGATGAAAGTCTTGAAGGTGAGGGGGGGGTTCAATACTCACACTGCTGCGAGGATGAGAAGATGGTTGCAAGAAGGATGGAGAGCTGCGGCGGAGAAGCTCTTTGTGTGCGCTGTGGCTGACTCAGCAGAGTATGCGACTAAGGGCTCGCTAGTGGCGAGGCCCTTCTGATTGGCTCGTCAAGGTTGCACTGAGGTGGCTCTCTTTACCGAGCTCATATTACGTCAGCCGGATCTGTTTACCATTGAATGCAGGACCATCAACGTTTAGTCAAGGTACGTAGTACTTGATCAGATGTTAAGACATGACTATTACTTTTGCTGTGTCTATCTCTCAGTATATCTACACTTACTGAAACTGTTGCGGATGTGTAGTGGCGAACTGACATCGATCATAAGAGTATAGTTCATGTCATGACGTAAATATTTGTCTATCCAACGAGATATTCAAAACGTTCGTGGCTCCATGCAAGCGTTGATAGGAAGCCCTAACCCTACTTTCAAATACCTTCAGAACATGTCAATAGGTATAGCGGTAATTGGGTGCAAGATCACCCAGCTGTTCTTGCTCCTCCTCCGTAAGCTCAACGGTAGCACCGTTGGCCATGGCGCGATCACGCTTCCGGTTGTCGTACCAGACCGCTGCAAGATAAGCGGTACAGCATGCTGCGGAGAAGCAGAGGAAGGAAAGACTGATGATATACCCATTCCGGTACAGGGGTGCGTCCTTCGCCAGGAAGGAATAGGTAGAAATGATACCACCAACTGGTTATACTTGTCAGCTATCACCCCTCTTACATGTCGAGGGTATTGCAGAAATTGCAACTTACTGTTACCGAATCCGATCTGCCATGCTGTTCCCACACCCCGGCGACGGTGTCCACTCAGGTTCATGGCGTACCAACATACGACGACGGCCATTGAGCTGTAGCAACCACCAGTCACCATGAAGAGCGCCCCATACTGGACATGCCGGTGAGCCACGCCGTGAACATTCAGCAGGATCCCAAAGCCGCCCATGGCAATCAACATGGGGATCATAGCAAAAATGTAGCGGTGTCTGAACGTATCAGAAAGGGTGGCAATCAACATGGAGAAGCCGAACGCGGCTGCCCATGGGGCCACTGAGTAGAGTTGGGTTTTGATCGCTGGTAGCAGACGTCAGCAGAGCTAATACTCGCAGAAACCTCACGACACATACGGGAGTAGCCATAAGTTTTGATGATAGTCGGGGCGAAATACGCGTATCCTGCACGCTGTTAAGAACGGAACTCATCCAAGAGCCATGTCGAGTCCAGCTCACCGTATGCCGTGACAATCTGGCCGAAATACATCAAGCCGCCAATGAAAATCTTATCTAAGAACATATTTAGCGAAACGCAAAACCAGAAGACTGGTGCACCACTCACAGTCCTTAAAGACAGCCAGCACATCACGCACGGTTAGCTTGACATCTCTGCCAGCGGCGCCGACGTCTTTTGCAAGCTTCGCACGAATGAACTCTCGCTCTTCGTCATTCAACCACTTGACGTCTTCCGGGAAGTCTGGAAGCACGAAGAACCAGACAAGCGAAACAACGCAGGTGAGGACGCCTTCGATGATGAAGACCCATCGCCAGCCATTGTAGCCTCGAATCCCGGCCATTTCTCCAAGACCACTGGCGAGAAGACCACCGAACGCGCCTGCTAGGGTGGTGGAGCTAAAGAAGAAGCTGAATCGTTTCTGAGCCTCGCTGCGCTTATACCACATTCCCAGCAGATAGAAGCCTGCCACGTCGCGATTGGTTATTGACTAGGCCAATCGTTCTCTGAGGAAACAGACTTACACCCAGGGAACATTCCCGTCTCAAACATGCCTATGTCATATACGTTAGGTCCCATTCAACCGGCACGTATATCTATATTCTGCGATGGGATAAATACCAAGGAACCAGCGAGTGGTCATCAAGCCCCCCCAGCTCGAAACCAATCCTTGACAGATCGTCACAAACCCAAATAAGAACATGCATAATGATACTGCGGTATGTCAGCAGTTCTGTTCCCTATCGCACAACAAGACGAAGTACATACACCATACATGGGGCTTCAGCTTCTTCAGCAATATGTTGGAGGGAATCTCGAACAGGACGTACGGTACGAAGAAGATGGTCAAAGCAGTGTTGTACTTGGTATTTTCGATATTCAGATCTTTCTGCAGCCCGAGAATTGCGGCATTGCTGATGTTGACTCTGTGAGGGCGCATTACAGATGTCAGTTCATACACGGAGCAAGGGGTTTGAGGATTGCATACCGGTCCAGAAATGCGAGCAAGTACATGACACACAGGCACGGCACGATATGCCAGTCAATCTTGGCCATCAACTTGCGCTCTGTAGTGGTGGTGAGCGGAGGGAGGCCTGCGGACACGGTATAGATCTCGCCCTCGGCCTTGCCATTATCTGTTTCGGAGACGCCTATGTATGCAATGAGGGGTTAGCAGTCTATTTCGCTAGGGAGTGCTGTCTCGTAAACGAAGAGAAACAGTATCGAGGAGACACACTTTTTAAAGCCATATTTAATGATTTCAGGGCGCAATTATTCCCCTACCCCTTGGCAAAGGCTGTTACTGTAAGCTGACACGACAGAGGGGGAAAAGAAGCAAGAAACAGATGCTGCGCAGAAGATAATGCGTGTTTATTTCTCACTAAGCACGCACGGTGTGACCTTGGGCAGCCGTGGCGAGTCAAGGACAATTAGCAGTGACTCAGACCTTTCTATTTGTCAGATCATATCTACTAACTAACTATTATCCGATCCTAGTCTACAAACAAAGGGATCTTCGGGGGCTGAACAACCCGTGCGATACTGTCTTTTGGGGATCGGCCACGGCCGAGGTTACTGTACTCCAAGTCTCCAACGCCAAGGAGTCACCAGCAAGGAGCCCAGGAGAGTCGATGAGTGGATGCGGCCGCCGATGCAGAGATAGCGCTTATTATTTGCGAATGCCACACGTAATAATTCAATTGACAAATCTGCAATCCTCAGTGCCGAGCGATTCCCCGCAAATTTTCCGGCCAAGCTTTCTTCTTTGGACTTTGGAGCATCTCCGCAATCGTATCCGCAGTACGGAGTAGAGGTTGGCTCTTGTAGAATGGGGGTATACCGTTTATCCAGTATTCTTATAAATGTAACTCCATAAACCATGGCTTAAAAAACTATAATTTGGTTTCTAGCAGCATCTACTAGATGAGGTTGTATTGCTGCTTGGATCATCGACCAAACTGATGATTTGAATAGCATTCAATTCCGCATAGTATCGGGTTGGCGGACATTGATGGTATTGGGGCAATAGATAAACTCCTCGCAAAGGAGTCGTTCTGTCAACTTGCAATGCTAGGCCCACTGCCAACGGGAAAACTGAATGGTCGATGGCCACTCTAGTGGACATACACAATCTACGCAGGGTGTTAGAAAACGACAAGCAGCTGAAAACCAACGCCAGGTATTCTAGATTGATATCGGTCGGTAATCATACAATCAACACAGCTTGAAATCTCCAGGATTGACGCTATGCGAGATATATAAGCCGAGAAGGAACCATCGAGAAGACTAAGTGATGGATAAATGGGCACTAGGGAAGCCAAGCCGTCTTCCACAGTTGAAGCAGCTCACTCGCTCGAGACCTCCTCCACTGCCTTGCCCCATGCCTTTTCGAAAGCCGAGTTGTCCTCAGCGACTGCGCTTGGACCAGCTTGGACCAAATCTCGGGTATCATCCTTGTCCACCATCACCGGGGCCGTGGAAGGCGTATCAGGGCGTTCTCTTTCGGCAGCGGATTGTTCCGCTTTCTGCTCCGCGCCTGGCGGCTTGAAGTCAAAGTTCGAGCTGTAGATGACGGCTGCGAAGGCTTCCAGATTCCTGACATTCTGATCCATGGCGGTAAGATACATGTTGGGCGGATTTGTGCCGTTGCCAATAACATGCGCCTGCCGTGCCATCACAGCCAGTACATTCGCGAGCTTCGTCTTGAGATCCACTGTCTTCACCTGTGGGACAACTGTGGCAACCGAGGTGAATGATTGTGGTACGCTGTCGGACGCTTGTGGCGACGACTGGAATGCTTCCTTGATGCAATTTTGCATCAACAAGTCAAAGCATTCATCGTTGAGGGCTTGCAAGACGCGACCAAAGGTTGGCGATTCAATCAGGTCGGCCGTCTCATCAAGAAGGTGTCGCAGAGTCGAGGCTGACTGAGATGTCGAGGGTTCAGTCACCCCCGCAACTCCCGACTCCTCCAACAAATGTTCCTCCTCTTCACGAGGAGGGAGCAGATAGGACAGCCATCTTCGGCTTCTATACCTGGGGAGTCAGCACAGCAACCTTATCTTATGATGAAACTGTGGCCGGACGTACCTTCTATCCTCCGGAGTGTTGCCTTCCACCTTCTTGCGGATGTCCAGAGTCAATTCCGACAGCCTCCCCACAGAAATATCTTCCCGGGGGTTCAAAGAGCCAAACGCATCTGTGACCGCAGCCTGAACCTCGTTCATCAGGTCCTTCCAGCCACGATGGAGCAACCACCAGCTGAATGCAAGATATCGTCGGTTTGTCTCGAAATCATTCCCCAGAGTCTGAGTCAGGTCATCGTCATCATGATCCTCAAGTTTGATCGTGGAGGCATTTGCTGGAGGAGTAGCCAGGGAGATCACGCTGGATAGATAATTTCTCCGACCAAGAAGGTTGAGTTGGATTCGGGTGAAAATGGTTAGTAAGGACAAGGTGTAGATGAGAGTAAACGATCTGGTGACAGCTGCAGTTTCAGCATTAGCTCTAGCCCGTCTTAGCCAGTCTTATAGGAGAAAAGACGACGTACAAGTGATCTTGACCTCGTTCCAGAGCTGAGTCTTGTTCCGCTTTACCCGCGCCGGCCCTTCGCCATCGATTGCTGGTTCTCCTGATTGACTTGTGCGGACAAACCCATCGCTCTGGAAGCTTGAGAGGCTCCTTCGATCATCATCGGCCGCACTGGGTGACACCGAGCTCAGGTCTGACACAGTCCCCTCACCAGTCTGGAGCCGAGCCAATCTCTCCGCCCGCTTCTTTTGCAATTCTTTCGTCAACTCCTCCACAGGAAGGGCTTCGAGGATACCTTCCGCCGCGGTCGGCAAGAGGGCCAGAACAGTATAGGTACAGTCCGTCTGATTCTGTTCAAAACGTCGCCGTAAACTAGACAGAATCAGTCAGTCACCAAAGCCGAGCACGCGAGCGGATGGATTTTTTGTCCATCTCATTTCGCCAAAAGACCGAGAGGGACTCAAAAAGGTAACATACTTTTCCCGGGCGATTCGATCGCTGCTCATCCGCTCCCGTGCCTCTGTTATTTTCGACAGCACATATTGTCCCGCGAGATAGCCAGCTCCAATAATGCCGGCCCCGATCGCGAGACCTTTGCGATTGCGTCGGAACCAGCGCCTAGTAGCTCCAATCATGATAGAGCTAGATGACGGAAGAGCAATGAAAAGTCAAATCATTCAAAATAGTGCATTACATATCATGAGATTGCAAGGAAGCGGAAAAATTCATCAAAATGATGTCTTGATAGTTGTAAGTTGGAGCAACCGAGACACAGGAGCTGTTGGTTGGGGAACCCAAGACTGAGAGAACAGCAGGCCTCGGCTAGAGTGAGTGAGAGACAACAGTAACGGCCGACACCGTGAACAGCGCCCGGATGAGGACCAGGTCAAGAATGGATGAGTCGCCGACGATCCTCATCTAGGTCATAATTGCATTAAGATTCATATGCCTTGCTACATTACTCCATCAGTTAATCAGATAATGTCTACATCTACAGCTATCCAATGACAATTATAGAACCTGATTCTTCAGTAGTCCCGTTGCCGCATTGTATCGGCGGAGATCTCCCTCTACTGCTCCGTAGATAGCCAACGGACTGTACCTTGGGTATAGATGTCACTCTCCCTCTTTGATCCTTCTACATCCCTTCTTAGTCGTCTGCAAACACTCTGCTCTCATGGACCACATCATGCTTATTTTCCTCGCAAAGTCATTCGACCTGAGCTTATCGTGTTCCTGAAAGTCTCAACTGCAAATAACTACCTGTCTATCTACCCTAAGTCATTCCCCCTCTCATACCGGCATCATCCACCTACCCTGCTTTCCCCCACATCCAAGTCATTGAATCGGGACTGGTCTCCGTGGTACAAGCTTAACAGCTTGCCTTCATACCTGGGTCATTCATATTTTTATTCTTATTGCTTGCTCCCTTTCGCAGCAAAGAAGCAAGGCAGTGTCGGTAGCTAAGACATATCTCTCCTTGATACCGTACGACCCCTGCGAGGATGGAGCCCCGCAGGACCCCTCCAGAGTACTTCCTGGAGATCTTCGCAGACACAACCACCGTGAGGGATGTATTAAAAGGTCTGTGAATCATTGATATTGGCTTGCCATATTATTATATATATTCTCTATCCTCTGTTGACAGCAGTCGTGTTGTCACCAATTCCATGAAAACACTCCTGCCCAGCGCTCAGCTGACATCACTCTGTCCGAACCAGGCGTCCTCAACCTCATCTTCTTCCACCGTTACTTCCCATCAATTCGGCCGACAACCTTCGACGTTCTTGACTTCACCCTCCCCGCCATCGACGACGTCGAGCTCGAAACCCTGATCGAATCCCGCATCAGCGCCCTGGTCCGCCAACACACTTCCGCTACCAGTACCCATGAAGGCGGCGGCGGCGTCCGCGGTCGCATCGCGGTCGAGTTCTACGAGAAGAAGCGCAAACGCTCCGGGGCGTGGTTCAGCGGGCTAGCGGGCAAGGGAGAAGAAGAGGTATGCTGGGAGGTGTGGAATCTAGACGTGACGATCGCGACGCCTCGGACGGAATCAGGTATCTACTTATAAAACCGATGGCATTGCTACAGGAGAAGAGAGTTTAGACTGATTATCCCCAACCAGAACGCGCCAAAGTCCGGAAGGCGATGGAGAACATGCTCCAAAAGGCTGCGCTGAAGATCCTCGCGGTCGTCAACCGGGATAAAGATCACATCCCGCCGATCACCACCAGCGACTCTAATCCCTTCCCCTATCGAATCGTACTGAATCCCCGCTCGGACGGCTGGCAGAACCGGTTCGGCTTGTACTGAGATACTGCATTGACTTGGCTTCCTTATCGCCAGATCTCCATGCAGGTATCCGCTGGTCTACGGTACCTGCGTGGATCAAGATCGACTCTCCTAATGGATCGTCGCGCCGCGCCTGGAGTTGCGGAGTCGGTTGGGTGATATTTTTTCTTTTGCGGCTGGTCGTTCGGATATAAATGTACATCACCTACGTCATCGCGACATTAAGCTCATTTTTGCGAAAGCCATCATGGAGGCATCATTGGACCTTACGAATGCATGCATGAAAACAAAGGACCGGTATGAGGAATGGCCAAAGATACTGCTCAATTACCCAAAGAGGCATGATCGCGTTAGATATAATTTCATCCAAGGATAAGTATAGCCATGTCCTGTCCTTTTTCAACAAAAGCAACCTCCACCATTCTACTCCTCCGATCACGGCAAGTGAAAACAAGAAGTAGAATGACACCGCCCCGCTCTCCCACCTCGACCCCGATACCTTAACCCACTACTTCTCCGCTCACTCCGACAACTCGACTTTCGGATTGCGCCGCGCAGGCCATAGGCCTGACAAGGCAAGAATCGATGTTTTCTTTCGCGGCTTGTCTTTCGCAAGCCGCGAGAGACTCTATATGCTAATACCGATTCTTAGCGATGCATTTACTGCGACTTGGAGGCGGCATCGGCCTGAGCACGGAGGTTGGCTGAGGTAGATCCGCTAGCGAAGAAGCGGCCCAGCACAGGCTGGAGGAAAGAGTGGAAGACAACTTGAGCACCGCTGTAGATGACGAGTTAGCATGTTTCCATAGGCTTCGCGTCTACCGAGGCAAACATACTTGGTCTGGGGCAGAGACATCCACAGAATGAGGACGAACTTGAAGATGTAGTAGAAGGCTGTTTTGACGAATTAGCAAAAGCTCCACGATTGGAAGAAAGTAACAAATTGCATAAACTTACGGAACCAGTAGGCAGCGTTGATGGCGCTCTCAACAACAGTCAGGAAGGCGTAAACAACCCAGTACTATAATTCACACGGTCAAGTCAGTCTCCAATCGCTGATGATAGTGCATCACGTGCTATGAAAACAGCCTAGGCTGTTCCCTAGCAGGCGCGGGGGAGATCGTATCCGCCTCCCAAGGTACGATTGGGGTTCACGATCACAAGCACATACCGTCAACCACTGCAGCGATCAGAAGACAGTCAGCCACAATCGTTCAGTCTATTAATTACAGGCGCTAGGCAGCGGGAAAACTCACCTGAGTATCATCTGCCTTGCCAGAGGTGAACACGGCATTGAGAGAGTAGTAGCCAGGAATCAGGAAACCGGCAAAGTTGACGAGGAACTCGCCAGCGATGTTGAAGAAGACCAGGAAGGTGTAGATTCCGACCAGGCCGAGGATGACATAGACCTTAGGAACGGAGGTCTGGCGCTCCAGGTTGTTGAGGACAGGGTACTTGGAGAGCTATAATATCACCCCACAAACAAATCAAGGGTTAGTGGCTTTTCCTTATTTCTTTGCATTTTCGACTTTCTGTTTAAACAGAGAGATCCCTGAAGAAAAGGAAAGGCAAGGCCTGGACAAAGGATGTGGAAGTAAAAGTAGTTGAAAGGCGTGTTGAATCTATCATCGCCAAAGACACTAACAAAGCTGACGCACAATAACCATCTACTTACCTCCTTGTCAAGCTGGGCTATGGTGTGCTGAGCACGATCCTGGAAGGAAGCCATTTCTGCTGGATCTCAATTGGTTTAATGCTAGTACAAGGTAGTAAAGGTAGTAGTAAGGTCTGCCTGACGTGGACTGAATATAAAGATGAAGAAGTAAAGAGAAGACAGCAAGGGAAGATTGTTATCACAGCCCAAGAGATTCGAAAGGGTCGAGCTGGCGGTTAAGAGAAGGACGCAGAATGGTGCATGACGGTGCGGTGTGTCACGTGATTGAGTGACGTCGAGTCCAAGCAAGTGACAGATGACGTGCGAGGCATCATGGTAGAATAGCTTGTTTACTCTACACAAAGCACCTTGTAGCATGTTGTAGTATGTTAGCAAGCACTTACAGACCAGATCCGTAATGACCTAAGCCATTCATAAACTACAGAGGCTTTATATGTCCCTGCAATCTCAAGGGGAAAAGACCCACCTGGAAGAGTGCTAACAATGTATCAATTTCAAAGCGCATATGATACAAGACATATGGACAAAACTAAGTACAATGCCATTGTTGACTGGGGTAGTTAGGGTAGTTACTAGGCGAGAATCACTCATAGACACAGGGTCTCTTCGTGTGAGCAGGTCTAACAGTGAATACTACAGCTTGGTGTATGCTTTGAATAGGCAGTGACATGTAAGGCGACCAGCAGCCCAAGAGGCAACTGATCGGAAGATTACCTACAACAAATAATAGTAGAAGAGTCAAGCATTGGGAATATTCATTTATCACCAACCCTCGTTGATCGTTGATTACAGCAGAAATGCCTCGAGTTGTTCCAAGACAAGCCTTGTTCTTTGCGGAGAGCGGAAGTAGTCAACAAACTGAAATGAGAAACACTGAAGCAGGACAATTTCCGCCCAGAAGACATTTCAAAATGGCATAACACAAGGGGTAGAATAAGAAAAGGAGATAATAAACAAGACGAGTCGCTCGTCTTGATTTAACGAAGCCTTGCGCCCTCAACCAACGTCCATCACGAGCCACCAAATCACAAAACGCCTCCCAGAAGCGGGATATGAAGATGAAAGAATCCGGAGCTAGAGGAATACATGTCAAGGGAAAAAAAATCGCAGGCAGCATCAGACCGAAAAATATGGAAATCATATCTCCGCTTGCGACGTCAGCGGACGTGAAAAGCAGACAATAATGCCCTGTCATAAACCTAACTTGACCTCATTGGTTGGCATCATGAGTCTTCCGAGTCAGGGCCGCCATTTGCGATTCCCGCACTATCCCGGTTGCTATTGTTGAACGTGAGTTTCAACTTTGGTTGCGTCGGAGTGGCAGCGGCAGGCGTCCCTGCAGACAGTGCGGGAGCAACAGAGACATCATTGCCTGCTGATGACAGAGAGTCGTCGAAATCGGCAAACTGTGGGTAGTCCTCGGTTTCTTTCCTCAGCACCTCGACACATTTCGCCTGTCTCTCAGTCAGAAATCTATGAAGCAAAAACAAGTAAAATGACAGAAGATAAACTTACTTCAATATCGTTGGCATCCTGGAACAGGATGCTTCCATCTTCATTGTAGGTCCTCGCATTCTGACACAGGAGGTGGATGTCATTGCGGAAGTCCCTTAGATTCTGATATTCCTCGCGGTTTATCTTCTTTCTGATCATCTCCATGGCGATTGGATTCTGAATGATCAGGTAATAGTCGGGATACTGTGATTTAGGAGGTGGCTTCATGAATGGCTCTATGATCGAGCGCGTAACCGGCCCATCCTCGCTGTCGGATGAATCCGCTGGGAGCTCTTGTTCCATATCCATCAGCGCCTGGTATGCGGTGTTGAGGATCCGCTGGAGCGTGGCCCGGTCCTCGCTACTCAAGGTTTCCACAGGTTTTGGTTGTCTGCCTCTCTTGCGCTTCGGTTGCGGGGTTTCCTCAACGGGCTCCTCCGCCTTGCGTTTAGGCGCAGGACCCCTACGACCACGCTTCTTGGGTTGCGGGGTCTCGGAACTCTCACGCGATGGCTCTGGCGAGGACTCAACGCCCATGGCTCTCTTCTGACGCTTCTCCTTATTGATCCGGCGACGCTCGACTCTCGCTTCCTTTCGGGCGATAGCATTCTCGATCGAGTCATCCTCGGCATCCACGGCCATGAGCCACTGTTCTTCGGTAAGACCATCGTCGTAGCGGGTAATCTTGCGTTCACGAGCTCCACGACCTTTAACCTCAATATCAACTTCTTCTTGAACGGGGTTTTCGTCGGCAAGATAAATATCCGGGAGTTCGTCTTCTCCCATGAGACGGGGATACCGATGGCCAGGACCATAAGCATCGTTCTTCTGGCGTTCCTTGTCAATGCGCTGGAAAGTAATCAGCTCGTCGTCAGAGCGAGCCATGATGTCGTTCAGGTCGTCGTCGTCCATTTCGTCTTGCTCACCAAGCTGGTCAGCAGCCTCGGCAGTTTCGAGTAGCGTTCGAAGGAGCGCATCTCGCTCTTCGTTTGTGGACTTGTTGTCAAACTTTCCAGCCTGAATGACCTTGCCATCCATGTCAAGCTTGAACTGCGCACGTTCAAGAATCTTCTCTTCAACTGAATTTGAGCTGATCAGACGCAGGATGCGAACCTCGTTCTTCTGACCGATACGGTGAGCACGATCCTGAGCTTGCAAATCTTGGTGAGGATTCCAGTCCGAATCGAAGATGATGACAGTGTCTGCAGTCTGCAGGTTGAGACCGAGACCACCGGCACGCGTCGAGAGCAAGAAACAGAAATAGTCCGAGCCGGGCGCATTGAACAGCTTCAGCAGGTCCGAACGATCATCTGACTTGGTTGAACCATCAAGACGAAGGTATTTCATACCCCGGAGGCGAAGGAAATCCTCCATGATGTTCATGATCTGAGTCATCTGGAAGAACATCAAGACGCGGTGACCCGTGGCCTTGAACTTCGGGAGGATCCTATCCAAAAGCTCAAATTTGCCTGCGGTTCGCCAAATGAGATCGTTGGTTCCACGCCCAGGATTCATTTGATCCTCAACGGGCTCGAAAACGAATGGATGATTGCACAATTTTCTCAACTGCATCAGCATGTTGCTCAAACCGCGCATGCCAGTCTTGCCTCCTTTGCCGTCACTGACAACCATCTTATTGTGCGTAACCAGCTGTTTGTACAGCCTCGCTTGCAGAGCAGAAAAGCGACATTTGATGACACGTTCTTGCTTATCAGGCAGATCCTTCTCGACATCTTTCTTCAGACGTCTAAGCAGGAAGGGCCGAAGAACCTTGTGCAAACGACGAATGACCAGTAGCTGTTCTTCTTCGGAGAGTTCCATGCGGTCCTGACCTCCAGTATTTGCAAAGGGC